TCCATTCATTCATTGTTTCACTTCTCCCTGCACAGCCCTCCCTGCACCCCCCGACAACCCCCCTCAGTTTGCTCCTCTCTTTGAAAAGTAAAAGAAAAATTCCTTCTTTGGTTTACAATCCCCCCGTGCCCTTCCCACCATGCCGAGTACACTCCACTATGCAACCTTAATTCTGGTTTCTTGTGATAACCATAATACCCTATTATATACCGCTTTTAAATTATTCTCTCCCTCATCTGTTTCAAAGCTGTATACATAATTTATCCAGTTTTTCTTGGTCTTACCCCAACCCTGATGTTAGTCCCATTCTACAACAGTGGCACCATGCAGTGTTTGTCCTTTTGTGACTGAGGTATTTAACTCAGCATAATGTCCTCCAGAGTCACCCATTTTAAATAATATTTCATGAGTTCCTTGTTTTTCAATGCAGCACGGTATTCCATTGGGTGAATATACCACAGCTTCTCTATCCATTAGTTTGCTGATGGGTACTTAGATTGTTTCCAACTCCTTGCTATTGTGAACAAAGCTGCACTAAACATGGGTGTGCATGTATCTGTTTGGATGTTGGTTATGGTCTCTTTAGGGTATATTCCCAGTAGAGGAATTGCTGGGTCAAATGGTATCTCTATTTCCAACTTTTTGAGAAAGCGCCACACCACTTTCCACAGTGGTTGCACCATTTTACACTCCCACCAACAGTGAATAAGAGTTTCAGTTTCTCCACAACCTTGCCAGCATTTTTTGCTTGCTGTTCTGTTAAATTTTGCTCGTCTGACTGGGGTGAGATGATATCTCATAGTTGTTTTGATTTGCATCTCTCTTAGAGCTAGGGATTTTGAACATTTCTTCATGTGCTTGTTGGCCATCTGAATGTCTTCTTTGGAGTGTCTGTTCATATCCTGTGCCCATTTTTCAATTGGATTATTTACCTTTATCCTGTTGCGGTGCTCAAATTCTAGATATAAGTCCCTTATCTGACATGTCATTCCCAAATACATTTTCCCAGTCTGTGGCTTCCCTTTTTACCCTGTTGGAGAAGTTTTGGGATGTCCATAGGGATTTGATTCTTAGAAGGTCCCATTCATCTATTTCATCTTCTCTGGGTTGTAGAGCACTTAACCATTTTTACCACCCAGGGACTCTGTGGATGGTGATGCTTTCAGTGGCATCAAGCAGATTCTGACTCGTAGCAACCCTCCATTATTTTCTAATTCTGTCAATCTTTATGGGAGGAGGTTCCCTATCTTTCTCCTGAAGAACAGCTGGTGGATTTGAACTGCTGTGTCACAGCACATTTTGCATGCTTATAGTTAGGTGCTGAGTAAATTACTTATAACAACCCTATGGAAAACAGATCAGAACCTTGTCCGAGCCTGTGCCATCATCATCTCTGAAATACCTGAGCCAACTGATACACTGTGTCAATCCATCTCTTTGAGGGTTTTTCTCGTCTTGACTGATCTGTCACCTTTCCAAGTCTTTTTTCAGGAGCTGTCCTCTGCTAACAACATGCCCAAAGTCTGTGAGATGAAGTTTTCCCATTATTTCCTCCAACGAGCACTGTGGTTGGCCTTTCTGGTATGTAATATGTAGTATGCACTACATTACCAGAATTCTTTTGAATGGTGACAATACTCAATAAAAGGACATTAAGTCAGTTTTTATCTTACGAGCATTTTTACACATATTTATATGTTGCTATAATTAATTTTTTCTTTTTTTTAAAGATTTATCATTTTTTAAGTCATTGCTGTACTTTTGCTGCCCGCCCCTGCCCACCCTGTACTACATGCCTTGTTCCAGACGATTCTCATAATAGAAAATGTATAATCATATATTCCTTTCGGACAGTTCTTCCCCTCATCTGTTCTAATGCAGTGTTGATTATATATCCATTCTTTATTTTCTCCGTAACCCCTCCCATGTCTGTCCTATTTTATAAAAAGCAGTGTATGTAGTATTTGTCCTTTTGTGACTATTTCACTCAGCATAATGTCCTCCAGGCTCATAAACTCATAAAACATTATACAATGTTTTGTTACTTTACATTTTTTTAATGTTGCATAGATTGTTGTTGTTGTAACTGTTATGTGCCATCGAGTCGCTTGCGACTCATAGCGACCCTATGTACAACAGCCCTAAACTCTGCTCTGTCCTGTGCCAATCACACCGTCACCGATACACCCATCCCGACTACCCCAGTCACTGAATCAATCCACCTCATAGAGGGCCTTCCCCTCCTGCGCTGTCCCTCCACCCTCCCAAGCATAACGTCCCTCTCCAAGGACCGGACCCTCCTTACAACATGTCCAGAGTATGTTAGACAAAGCCTCAGAATCCTTGCCTCCAGGAAGCCGCCCAGTTTAACCCTTTCTAGGATGAATCTGTTTGTTTTCTTAGCAGTGCATGGTACCCTCAATACTCTTCTCCAGCACCACAGCTCAAAGGCATCAATTCTCCTTCTAGCAAATGTATCATACAATTTGTTTGTTGATGAGCAGTTGAGTTGCTTCTACCTCTTTGCTACTATGAATAATGCAGCAATAAACAAGGGTATGCATACATGGGCTTGACTCATGGCTCTGGTTTCTTTAGACTGTATTCTCAGTAGTGGAATTACTGGGTTAAATGGTGTATCTATCTCCAACTTTTTGAGAAAGCACCAGACCACCTTCCATAGTGGTTGTACTATTTTACATTTCTACCAGCAGTGAAATCTCCCCATAACCTCACCACCATTTACTGTTTGCTGTCCTGTTGGACTCTGCTATTATTCCTGGGGTGAGATGATACTTCATAGTTGTTTTATAAGATTAATTAATAAGTCACCATGTTGTCATTAGATGCCACTGAGCACAACTCACAGTGACCCTATGAAAAACAGATTTAAATTCCATCCTTTCCTGTGCCACCTTCATACTTTCTGACACACTCAAGCCCACTACTGCAGTTACTGTGTCAATCCACTTGATTGGGGGGTCTTCCTTTCCTTTGCCGACTCTCCACTTTTCCAAGGATGATGCCCTCTCCTAGCAATATGCTCAAAATATGTGAGAGGAAGCTTTATTATCTCTGCCTCCAAAGAACACTTTGGCTGTGCTTTCTACAAGAAGTATTTGTTCTTTTGGCAACATGAGGAAATGTCATTCCAAAACATACTATCAACACTATTCACTGTATAGTGCATTAGTGTGAAACTGCTACCTGAAGGCCTTCTGAATCCATCAGCTGCTCCTTGGGAGAAAGGCAGACAGCCACAAAGACTTATCCCCTCTGATGCCCAATAGAGGGTTGCCATGAGTTGAGATCAACTCAATTCAGGGGGGTCTGAATTTTTTATTTTGTGTATAATGGATAAGGAGTCATGGTGGGACAGTGAGTAAGTACTAAACTGCTAAGTGAAAGGATGTCAGTTCAAATCCCCAAGGTGCTCTAGCAGAGAAAGGTAAGGCAATTTGCTTTCACAAAGATGACAGTCTTGAAAATTCTATGAGAGTTAGCGACTTTTCTGTCTGATATGGTCGCTATTAGTCAGAAATTACTTGATGACATTGAGTACATAGGTTAAAAACCAAGAGTGACAACAAACACAGGAAACAGAAAACATAGTAAAGAGTTAATACCAATGGCATAATACCATGAGTAATACCATGATACTACATAATAGAAAGCATAACATGGCATAATCTTAATTAACTATCTTGATCATTTCTCCATCTAAATTCCTCCCAAAATGCCAAATGCATGGTTAAGGGTGTCTAATAATAAGTATTTACTAAATATTATTTGAAGATTAAAGAAAACCTCAGCTATGAAAACAAAGTACAGCATCTTACGGCTCAAAGTCTTTCTGATTCTTAGATTATGGTTAGAAAGTTTTCAAACAAAAGAGACCTTATTTTCAGGATTTAAGCTATATTGTGGGTAAGTGAGAGAATTAAATTACAAAATAGTAAGTGATTAAGCAAAGTAAAAAATGTTATGGAAACAAAAGGATTATTAAGTTATTTTCATACTGATGGTGAAATTAGAGTGTAACTACCCAATTTTGATAATAATGGTTTATGTAATAGTATTTAAAATGTAAATAATTTGTTTTCTAAATTGTACCTGATGGCCCACATGACGACAGAGTACCAAATAGCATATGTAAAATCCATTAACAGTCATAATCCTTTTAAGATGTCATAATTTGAAGACTAAGGTGCATCTGATTCAGGCCATAGTCTTTCCAATAACTTGCTATGCATCTGAGAGCTGGACAATGGATAAGGATGACAGGAAAAGAATTGACACCTTTGATCTGTGGTATTGGAGAGGAGCACTGAATATCCTGTGGATGGCCAAGAGAACAAATAGATATGTCTTGGAGATGGTGCAGCTGGAGGGCTCTTTGGAGGCAAGAGTGATAAGGTTTCACTTCATATACTTTGGGCATGTTGCTAGGAGGGGCTATTCTTTGGAGAAGGACATGATGCTGGGAGGGTCAGTGAAGGAGTGGAAAACCCTCAACCAGGTGGGTTGACACAGTGACTGCTGCAATGGGCTCTGGTGTGTCAGGAAGTGTGAGGGTGGTGCAGGATAGAACAAGGCTCAGATCTTCTGTTCATAGGGTCTCTTAATCATACTTGATTCGATAGCACCTAACAATAACAACAATTTGATACAGACAATTATGATAGAGATATAGCTAAATGCACAGATAAAACCCTGGTAATCAATTGTTTAAGAATAAAAAGTTAAAAAAAAGAATAAAAAGTTAACATTATGGGGGAAAATTAGCTATAGTTAAAAGAAAATAGTATTTATTGGTAAAAAGAACTCATATGAGTTAATTATACCATCAGGTGCTTCATTCAAGTGGAGTAAATGAGAGAACACAAACATTGGAAAATCTAGTGGTAAAAGTAAAAACATCTAAAAGTACTCTCATTATATTGTTCACTATCAGGATAAATATAAACTATTATATTGTTTTATAGGAAAACAAATCTTACCTTGTTGCTGTGAAAGTGAAATACCAGATTTACTTTTAACAAGTATTAAATGACTTTGTGCTGGTTTATGCTCAACTTGTTGACATTTGTGTTCAACATCCTGGTCTTGTTTTTGTTGGTGCTGAAGAATATAAAAGATGAAGTCATCTTTAAGTACCTTTAAAAAAATCTAAGCAGTTAATTTGACAAATTATCCAAGTGCACATAACAACAACAACAATTTGCCTTCTGGTCATTTGTTATTTACTGGCCCTTCTAGTAGCAAGTGTGAGATAAAGATACATTGTAAATAATGCCTTATTTACAATATACTGTTTTAAATACTGGAAGCAGGAGTGGCATACACTTTTTAAACAACATGCCTCTGGAAGCTCTATGAACTTTGATAAATTGTTATAGAAAGGCTTCGGAGTGGACTTGAATCAGGACACACACCTGCAGCTCGGACCCACGACCCCCATCTTCAGGTATCGCATTGCTCCTCCCCCCCCAACCTGGCTCACGCCCCCACCCCCGCCAGCTCTGAATTTTGGGACTGGCCAAGGGCCGTGCACAGACGCAGTGGACGGTGGGAGTGGACTTGAATCGGGACACACCCCTGCAGCTCTGACCCATGACCCCCATCTTCAGGTATCGCATTGCCCCCCCCCGAC